TGAACAGGTAGCAGTCAGAAACGGCAGCTGGAGAAGTTGACCTGGAGAAGAGTCTTGAGCGAGGCAGCTCCACCTCTGTGGAACTCACTGCTACTGGAGGCCAGGCGCGCACCAGCATCGTGTCATTTCCGGCACCTGCTGAAGATGACTGTTTCAGGAAGCCTTCCTTGGTGATCAGCCACAGGTCTTAGGCATCCTTTAAAAAAAAAATCCATGTTTTCTTTGTTCAAAAATCCAGGATCTATCCAGATATGGAGTGCCAGGCAAAGCCTGGAAGTGAATCAGTAAATAAAGAGGACACTCCTTTGTGTAACATTTGTCTATGCTAATTTATAGGCATGGACATAGAAATGCAGTGCATCCCACCTGCACAGAAGAGAGGGCGAGTTGGCTTGTGGGCCTGATCCGTCTGCCATTCATGCACGGATTGTGGAAGAGCATCCTCAAGGCCCTGACTTGCTCTCCCTCCTTATTTGTTTATTTGAGGTGTTAATTATGTTTCTATCTCACCTTTTCTCCACAAGCAACTCAAGGCAGCGTTCTGGATGCTTTCTGTATGATTCTGTGGGCGTGGACTGTACAGCCCATCAGGCAGAGGATGCCTTCAAAGAGAGAACTGACCTCCCTAAAGTAGGACACCTGCTTTCAGCCACACAGGGAATGCAAAGCTGAAAAGCTTTTCTCCTGACTTTTCTTATGTGCGGCCCAAGCCATGGCGCCCAACCATGGCAGGACATCGACAAACCTTGCCTCGTTGCTCCGTCCCACACGAGCTCTGTGGGAAGTCCTCTGCTCCCCGGGCAGCACCGGCCACCCCCGCCCCTGCCTGGCAACCCGGCCCTGGCTTGATTAATGGCCCCCGGAGTGGTCCGTGCCCGGCTGCTTTCGCACGCGTCCCCAGGGAGGGCAGAAGCCCTCCATCCATCCGGCCGCTGCCAACCGTAACATGGCGTGGGCGAGGAAAGCGGGGACCTGCCAGGCCAGGGAAAATGACCCCATCCCTTTCCCTGTCGCTTTTTCTCAAGGCCAGGTTCGGAAATGGGTGGCCTTGAGTGTGCCACTAGGGAGGGCAGTCCTCGATTTGCAGGGCTGGCGAAGGACGGTCCCTGGTGTGAAGGTGCCTGCCGTTTAAGAAGCCACCTGCTCCAAGACTGCCTTAAAGATGGACCCCTTCAAATGAAGGGAGAGCCACGGGCCACCAAGTCCTCCAGCTAGGGAGCCCAAGGACAGCGTCCTGAGTGGGGCACTCTGTGGGGTTTACTTCTGCAGGATGAATGTCAGCAACCTGGAGGACTTTCTCAGTGGCCACCCCTAGACTGTGGAATGGCCCACCAGGAAATATGCCTCTGATATTTCAGATTTCTACCTTCCAGGGGGTGTTAAACTCTTATCTCTTCCAACGTGCCCTCCTAGATCAGTTTCCATATTTGTTTTATTTAGTATGCTTGTTTTCAATTGAAACGTTGGCTATGGTTGGATTTAATCTCTTGTAAACCACTCAGAACCTATGAAAAGATCAGAACATAAGGAAGGACATGCTGGGTCAGGCCCAAGGTCCGTCCAGTCCAGCACTCTGCGCACGTGGCAGCAAACCAGCTGCCCCCAGGATCCCTCCAGCAGGAAGGGGGCGAGACCCCCTCCTGCCCAGCTCCCCAGCAACTGGTGCAAGCAGGCAGGCCGCCCCTGGAGAAGGAGGGAGCACCTGGCCAGCAAGGCTAGTGGCCACCGATAGCTGCCTCCTCCGTGAATCTGCCCAATCCCCTTTCAAAGCCATCCAGATTGGCGGCCATCCCCTCTTCCTGCGGCAGCGAATCCCATGGTTTAACTATCTGCTGTTGCTAGTCCTCAGTGCTGCTGCTCCAGTCCCTGGCCCGTTTCACTGCTGTTTGGGAATGGAACATTTTACAAAATTCAGAATAAGAAATAAATATTAGATGAGCCGGTTTCACACTTCTGGTATTTTCTGAGGACCAGTTTTGCTGGGTTAGTGTTCTTCTTTTTTAATGAATAGATGAATTTCAGCTTTCAGGCTTGTTCCCATTAAACCCCCCCCCTTTTTTTCTTTTGGTAATCAGGGCTGCCATGCATATTTTTAATTCAAAGGAAATGTCTCTGCAAAGCATTTGGAAAGTTGGCTTCTTAAGTCTTTCTGTGGTCCCGAAGTGCTACTTCTTGGGTGAGTTTTTACATTCCAACTTTGTGATGGCGGGGGGGGGGGGGGGGGGGGGGGTTGTGATGGGGGGGGGGGGATGCTGCTCTCCCCCCCTTTTGGCATCTGGAGAACTCCAGGACTGGGGTGCAAAACTCACCAGCATTGACCTTGCTACTGGCTGCAATGGATGCAGGATTAAATCCCCATGGTACAGCAGCAAAGAGCCAGAAGGGGCTAGGGTGGCCAGGTGTCCTCTTCCACAGAGAACAGTCCTCTTTGGAAGGGCTGCCAGAAAACCATTCTCCTCCCTCTTTTGGCATCCTCTCTTTGAAGAGCTGTCTTGTCCAAATTCACAAAAAAAGTAAAGAGACATAAGAACCGTTTGCCATCCACAGTTAGTCACAAAAGCAGGAAGCAGGTTTACGGGAGAGCTGCTGAAAGGCGCTGCATTTCTATCTAAATTCTAAGATTTTTGTTCTAAAGATGCGTCTATGCACATTCGATTAGTATAGGCATATTCTATGCATATTTGTCTCTTCTTTTGTCTTTGGGTGTGTAAGTATGGATGGACTCCATACAGAAAGCTCTTGGAATTGACAAGAGCCGAGCAGGTCTGTCAAAGAAAGGACCTTTTGAAATGCTTTCTTTCCAGGGTCCTCAGGAGTCACAGACCTCAAAGGCTGTCACAAAGAGGAAGGTCAAGATCTCTTCATGTTGTGACAACCCAGATTCAGGAAAAGCTTCCTCACTGTCAGAGCAATGAGACAGTGGGACCAGCTGCCCGGAGAGGTGGGGGGCTCTCCCACACTGGGGACATTCAAGGAGAAACTGGGCAGCCCTCTGAGTGGGATGGTGGGACTTGGAGACCTGCAAGAGCAGGGGGCTGGACTAGATGGCCTTCATGGCCCCTCCCAACTCTACTCTTCTAGGATTGTAAGCTTTCTTCCTAGAGGAGTCCCCCAGTTCCTCAATCGTTTTGGTTGCCCTTCCCTTGCACCTTCCCCAGCTCTCTGGGCTTCCTCTTCCGCGGAGCAACCGGACGTGCGCACAGCATCGTCGGAGCATGGTCCTGCAACGATGCCTGGCCAGGACTCAGAAGCGTTTTCAAGGGGCTTGCACCAGTCTGCATTTTCTCTTTGCTTGAGGGGGAATTTTCCTGGATGGGAGCAGTGATTGCAGGCATGCCCTGACTCAGTTCTCTGGGTTATTATAAATATCTCAGCAAAAACGGAGAAGGAAGTGCTTGCTCTAATCAGGACACCGCTCCTCTGAACCGAGGAGTGAGGTCACAGCTGGTCCTGATCAGGGAGGGATTTACTGTTTGTACCACGGAGGGGACAGTTAAAAAGAAATGGAATCCGCCTCTGAGACTCGCTCTCTCCTTCGTCCCGGAGGACGGACATGGGGTTTCCAGAACGAGTGCAGTTTTGCCTCCCAAGGGCACCTCCAAATGATTTTGGCCCCTTTACACTCCGGTTTTAAGGCATGTTTAATGGGAGAGCACGCTGCCTGGCCCCATATTTCATGGTGAACATACACTGCCACTGCGCAACACTGTGGCCTGGCATACGCCACAGAAGCTCTGGCGCTTGGGGCTGAAGGCCAGGGGTCCACAGTCCAGCCCCCCCAAATATCCGTCTGGAAAAAGCCGCACCGAAGAATTCTGGTGCTGTTACCTGGGCAGGCAATGGCAGTGCCTCCCTAGCGGATGTGATTCACAGCACCTGCCTTTCTCCTCACTTTCACCTACATTTTATAGTCAGGGGCGTGTGGCTCAGCTTGGAGGTCCTTAAACACGCTCCTCTTTGCACCTTATTTTTATCTTCTGCAAGAAAATGGCACTTGCTGCCAAGCAAACCTGTTTAGCATCAGGGCAGCAGAACCAAAGTGCATTTTATTCCTGCACTCAAGATGGCAAAACAAGTTCAATGAATCTGAAATGCAACGGCGCGCATGCATGGAGCATCTCAAGTTTGCGAGCAGTTCTGCCAAATGATCAGCACATAGAAGCAGCTGGAAAGTGTGAAACAGTGGCTGACTGGGGAGCAAAGAAGCATGAGTCATGCCCCTCGCAACCGAGTCATGCACATCTCCGTGTGAAGATGGGCTTCCGGAAGACTGAAGTCCAGGTACCAAACGGTGCCGTTGGCAAGGTTGGGATTCACCGGACAAGCCCCGCAAAGTGTACCACACAATTATACCTGCTCGTCTGGGCTCTTGTACGGATGCGTCCCAGGGAATTCCAGGCAGTGTGAGAATTCATCAGTACCCCTCGTCACTTCCAGGTTTAGAGGTGGGGGTGAGTTGCTTGTCTCCCCCACCCGGGTTTCATAGACCGTTAGGACTGCACCTTAGCAAACTGACCGAAGATGTTTCTAGAACTCTTACAAGGGCACGTGCTCCAGAAAACCCAAATCTGTCTATAGGCCTGCAATGAGCCCTTGCCTTGGCTGTGTGCAGCGAGTGTGTGCGCGTGTGCAATTTCACATCTGAAACTTGAGCTCTTTCGGTGGATAGAGGAAAGTGGGGGGGCAGCGCTGCGCTCCTCTGTTCTCCCCCTTTTTCCCTCTTTTCTTCTTTTTTTGGCAAGACTGCCCCCATTGCCGCTGGAGCCGGGCTAATGATAAAAGGGAAAGCAGAGGCGCGCGCGGGGGGGGGGGGGGGCTCGGAAGAGGGGAGCCCGGGCAGGGGAGGGGGTGGGAGGAAGCTCCGAGTTTGCGGAATTTCGACATGCTCTGAGGGACGGAGAGAGGCAGCGCGCCCGGCAGGCGAAAGACACGCAGCTGCGCGCCGCGGCCGGCCCGCACCGGAGCGGGGCCCGATTCCCGCGGAGAGTCGCGCCGCAGCGATGTGGGCGGCTGCCCCCGGGCGGCTGGTGGCCTGCGGCTTGCTGCTGGCCGCCTTCGGGGCGGCGGGCGGGCAGCGCAGGGCGGGCGAGGGCGCGATCCGCCGGCGCTCGCACCGCGTGCAGCACGGGCGCTGCAGCTACACCTTCGTGCTGCCCGAGGCCGACCCGCCCCCCTGCCCGCACGCCGCCGAGCCCTTCGGCGCCAACACGCTGCAGCGCGACTCCCCGGCCGGCCCGGCGCTGCGCGGCGACGAGCGCCCGGCGCTGCGCGTCCAGCACCTGGAGCGCGCCTTGGAGAACAACACGCAGTGGCTGCTGAAGGTAGGCGCGGAAAGGGCGCTGCTCCGGCCCAGAGGCGCCGGGGGAGCGGGGGGAACGCGCGCCCGTGGGAGCCGCCCTCGGCGGACGGGCCGCGGGGCTGCGCGCCTTCTGCGCGGGCGCTCGCGGGCCCGCTCGGCTCTCCGTGCGGGAGCGCCGCGGGGTCAGGTGCCCTTGCCGCCCGGGGTCCCGGTTCAGCATCGGCGTGCACGAGGGGCGGCTGTTTCGCAGGTTGGGGCGGGGGCGGGGGTTAACCCTTGCGACGCGTCTGGCCGCTTGCGGCACTCCGGAGCACCCGTGGGCCCCGGGGGAGGCCGGCTCTCTGCGCGGGTGTCCCCTCGCCTTTGCTTCCGGCCATCCCAGGAGAGGCGCAGGCTGGGCCGTGCCCTGAAAGAGCCCGCTTCGAATTCCCACGGCAGCTTCTCTTCCTGTGCGAAAATATCCCGGAGCTTGTGGGCTGCCGACGAAGCTTTGGCGCAGATGCTCTCCCGAGAGGCGCGGAGGAGAGCGAGGATGGCGCAATACCCCTAGGGGCGCTAGCGCAGGGCATCCTCGCCCCCTGCAGGACGCGAGATGCGGAGCAAAGCAGGCCAGCGTACAGCGCAGGGGGAAATCGCCCCCCCCCCCATGACAGGGCTCGGCTTTCCCCCTGGGAGTGAGTGGATGCATCCCACTTATAGGGGAAAGGGCTGCTTCCTGCTCATGGTGACCCCAGGGATGGGGAATCAGCCCGCCTGGCTCATCTGCATAGCTCTGCCCCCTTTTCTCTTTCTTGGATATGCCAGAATATGTATGACCAGAAGTTTGGGACAGGGAGGGAACTATTGGGGTTATTATTATTATTATTATTATTATTATTATTATTATTAACTCATGATGGGGAGAGGAATGGTAGGTTGGACAGCCAGTTACGCATCACCAAACTCTGGAAAGCATCGCTTTGATGGGTGAAAAGATTTGCATAATATTTGCATGTGCTCATTCAGCTGAAGGCCAGCATGGTGAGGTGGTTACAGAGTCGGACGGGGGACCTGGGAAATCCCTGATCGAGTCCCCGCTCAGCCATGAAGCGCCTTGGGTGGCGTTGGGCCCGTCACAGACTCTTCACCTAACCTACCTCACAGGGTTGTTGTTATGAGGATAAAGTGGAGCGATGTAAGTCGTCTTGGCTTCCTCATAAGAAGAGAAAAGGCAGAATAAAAAATTAGCATAACAGTAGTGGTAACAATAATTATAACAATAAAGCATGTCTAGATACACATTAGATATAAATTGCTATTGCTCATATATATATATATATATATATAGTTTCATATATATATATATATATATATATATATATATTGCTTTAACACGTAATTGCAGTGTTGGGGAACTCCAGGACAAACTCAGAGGAGTTTGGTTTTCTCTGAAGCTGACCTGCAAATTCTGTGACAGGCCGCCTTTTTCTGAGTTGCACAAATTCTGTGGCCTTCTAGACTCCACATCTTTAACTTTTGAGGGGCATTATGGAAAGTTGCTCCTTAGTGACAGATTTTATTTTCCTGGACTCCAAGATCACCACAGACGGGGACTGCAGCCAAGAAATTAAAAGGCGCTTGCTCCTGGGGAGGAAAGCTATGGCAAATCTAGACAGCATACTAAAAAGCAGAGACATCACCCTGCTGACAAAAGTGCGTATAGTCAAGGCGATGGTTTTCCCAGTTGCCATGTATGGCTGTGAAAGCTGGACCATAAGGAAGGCTGAGCGCCGAAGGATTGAGGCCTTTGAATTGTGGTGCTGGAGGAGACTCCTGCGAGTCCCTTGGACCGCAAGGCGATCAAACCGGTCAGTCCTGGAGGAGATCAACCCTGACTGCTCTTTAGAAGGCCAGATCCTGAAGATGAAACTCAAATGCTTTGGCCACCTAATGAGAAGGAAGGACTCCCTGGAGAAGGCCCTGGTGCTGGGAACAATAGAGGGCAAAAGAAGGAGGGGACGGCAGAGGATGAGGTGGCTGGATGGGGTCACTAGGGTGGTCAGTGTGGGCTTGGGTGGGCTCCGGGGGATGGTGCAGGACAGGAAGGCCTGGAGGAGTGTTGTCCATGGGGTCGCGATGGGATGGACACGACTTCGCAACTAACAACAAAAATGCGAAGTTGCACTTGCACTAACGAAGATCAGTGCAGTGCAAATTCGGGCTAATGTACCTTAGTACAAGTGGAATAAAATCTTTCCGGAAAAGACTCAGATTCTGTCAGTGAAGGAGAGACAGAACAAAGCCTGACAATCTGCAGGATGCAGAGAGCAGGGGCATTGCGAAGTCTGCCCTTTCCTAGCGGGAAAGAATGGACCAGGTGAGCTGGAGCTGCACAATCAGGAACCCTGAAATTGCCTCCGGATGGGCAGTTTTGGGGTTCCTTCTCAGGTGTTTATCTTCAAACTGGATGTGGACAAGAGCTTTACAAGCAGAAGAGAGGCAGTGTGGCCTAGTGGTTAAGAGCATGGGACTGGGACTCAGGCGATCGGGGTTCGAGTCCCCGCTCAGCCATGGAGCCCACTGGGTGACTTTGGGCCAGTCACAGACTCTCAGCCCAACCCACCTCACAGGGTTGTTGTGGGGAGAAGATGGAGGAGGAGAATGATGTAAGCTGCCTTGAGCCCTTTGTCGGAAAAAGGCAGGATATAAATCCAAAAATAAATAAATAAAATAAGATGGAGCTTATAAAATAGAGTTCCTGGGAGGACTCCAGGTAGTGAAAAATCAGGAACAACCTGCCAGCAGAATCCCTTTCCTGAGCTTCAGATTCTAATTCCAGGGGAAGCCCATTGTGTGGGAAAAACCACAGTGGGTTTCTGGGTCTCCCCCAGCAGGGTGGCGAAGGGGATGTGGGAAGCCTGGGTAGCCCATGGGAAATGGATGCCATGGACTAGAAACCTAACTCCAAGTAATCTAGTTTGGATACAGTGGATATTTGATTAATTTAAATAAAAGAAAACAAACGTGAAGGATTTTTTTAAAGGACAGGAAAGAACCAAATGCTTGTGTAGAATTGCAGTCCTGGAAATTGGGATATACAGAGTGAACATAAAAGCATCAGAAAAGCTCTTCTGGGTTCAGGCTGAGATCTTTCTGATCCAGGCTCCGGTTCTCACCGACAGCTCGCAGGAAGCAGGACAGGAGTGCGAGGCACCCTCTTGCCCATGTTCCCCAGCAACTGGTGCCCACAGACCTACTGTCCTGGATCTGGAGGTAGCACGTGGCCATGGGCAGACTTGTCCTCCATGAGTCCGTCCTATCCCCTTTTACAGCTGGCCCTAAGTTGTGGAAGGACATGCCATCATTTTACTGTGTGAAGGAGGGTCTCCTTGGATTGGTCCCCCCCGCCATCAGCTTCAGGGAATGACCCTTTGGGTTCCAGCATCAGGCCACTGGGAGAAAAACGTCTCCCCAGCCACTCTGCACACAAGGCACAATTTTGCCCTTCTCTGCCAATGTCTTCCCTTCCTCTCCTTTTCTCCAAGCGAGACTGGCTCAGCTGTTGCAGCCTTTTTCCCACTGAGGAATACATGATCCTTCATATAAGCAGAAGAGTTAGAACACCCTTCCCAGGGCAGTATGACTTAATTAACGACCATCCTGCCTCTCTGACCACCTTCCATAAAAACAAAGGGTCCCAGTTTAGACCAAGCCAGCGCTTTCCCTGAGAAGATTGAGGCTGTCGTACCATGGACACGTCACAAGAAGGCCAGACTCCTTGGAGAAGGCAAGCACGCTAGGGAAGCCAAAGGCAGAAGGCAGAGGGAAGATCAAATAGGAGATGGATCAACTCCATTCAGTTCATCATAAGTCAGAGACAACTTGATAGCACATAACCACAACAGCAAAACACAATTTAAAACACATCAGCAAAAGAGACAGGCAGCAACAACCAAGTAAGCTTATCTTCTGCAACTGACCAGTTTAGATTCCAGCACCCTCCAGATGTGCTAGACTACAACTCCCATCATCCCAGGCCAGCCATGGTGCTAGGGATGGTGGGAGCTGTAGCCCAATACATTTCCAGAAGGCATCAAGTGGGGGAAGGCCAAGTTTCTTGGTAAAGGAAGAGAAAAGAAGCGAGGCAGGAGGACCGGACAATTAGGGCGAGGGGACTGGGATCTCTGTGAGGGGCGCACCCTGCCCGTGTTTGCAGGCATCTGCCTCCAAAATAGGAGCCGGCCAGAGCCGGGCCTTTTTGCTCCCGCGTCCCTCTCGACTCCACATCCGTCATCTTTGACTCACGACGACTTGCGTCAGGCCCACAAATAGCCGCGTCCCTGATGGGTTCGGGGGGACAGGATCCCAAAACAGCAGCAGATCCGCTGAAATAACCAAACTTGTAGCACAAAGCGAAAACCAGCACGAGGCCCCTCCCCCTCATGGGAAACAGAGCGGGGACGTGGAGGAGCGTGATGAACCGGATCCTGGCTCCCCATCCGCATCCCAGCAAAAGGCCCTGCCACGAATCGCCTTTGCTCTGCTCGTCGGGGGAAATGCCTCGTGTGCGCCTCTGCTGAAAAGGGAAGTGCCCAGGCACGCTTTTCAGAATGCTCTGGTCCGTGTGCAGTGTTCATGTGCAATGCACAAGCAGCCCACTTCAGCTCTGCACTCCCCTGCTCAGTGCTCTGCAGCTTGTGGCAAACACGATTTCTGTGCGCAGACCTGCAAACATACACAGAGGCATGCAAAACCTCACTGCATTTCTTTTACCCATGAAGAGCCGGGTGGCCTGAGCCCCTGAACAAGGGTGGGCTGCAGATGCACAAGAACCAGGTTGTGGCGAGACATTATGTGAAATACCCAGAAGCTTGAAAAGCAAGGAAAAGAAAACTCCCTCGGAGGTGCCTGCAAAGGGCAATGCAGTCTTCCCCAAGCTGGAAAGCCAGCATGGGATGATGGGAGCTGTAAATCGGGGCACCAGTTTTGGGTGGCTGGTACAATAGGATGGGGGTGCAGGAGGTGGGCATTCAGGCTGCGATC